TACGTGATGTCGAGAGACCGACTCGATGAGGGAACTATTTCCCTGCATTTATAACACACTAAACTACACTAAACATGTGGCAAGCAGTGCAAGGTACAATAGCAGGAGAAGAAGCCATGACTCACCATGTTTGTTGAATGATTCCGACTTACCACAGTTGTTTGATGAACTCATGAAAAGAAGAGCGAGAAAGATGAAAGAAATGGTAGGCACGAATGACAAGCTAATGGATTCTAACGCGCTGTGCTATCGGTTTAGATTAAAAAGCGAACAATATCAAATTAATTTGTTAGATAATATCAGAAGTATGGTGATTAAGTGATTAAGTTATATTTTAGCAGTTTAAACAATAGAGTGATAGTATGATAGCGATTCCAACAACAAAAAAAACAAACAAGATTAATAAATCTCTGTGTCATACTATGTATTAAGTATGTGACACATAAAAATCTGATTTGAAAGAGAATGTTGTCACAAGATGGAAGGGGAAGTTATTTTCGTAAAGGCTACGGGGCACTTGAATAAAAAAAAAAATACTGCAATATACTATAAAAAATAAGAATAGTCCGTTTTGATTTCACGGTGAATTTAACAAGTTTTAGCCCATTGCTAAGCAGTTTAAACAACAGAGTGATAGTATGATAGCGATTCCAACAACAAAAAAAACTAAAGATTAATAAATCTCTGTGTCATACTATGTATTGTTAAGTATGTGACACATAAAAATCTGATTTGAAAGAGAATGTTGTCACAAGATGGAAGGGGGAGTTATTTTCGTAAAGGCTACGGGGCACTTGAATAAAAAAAAAAATACTGCAATATACTATAAAAAATAAGAATAGTCCGTTTTGATTTCACGGTGAATTTAACAAGTTTTAGCCCATTGCTACTATGTTTTAACATGTTGCTACTATGTTTTAACATGTTGCTACTATGATTCACACATTTACACATAATATTTATACTAGGGGTGTGCGATATGACGACATTTGATCGGGAACGTTTAAAATGTCTCCATGGTTCACTTTTTCGGAAATCATTGTATCGTGCCTACATCCCAACATGCAGTGCAAGTACGTGACAAACTGAGGTAATAGAGTGATAGTATGATAGCGATTCCAACAACAAAAAAAACAAACAAGATTAATAAATCTCTGTGTCATACTATGTATTAAGTATGTGACACATAAAAATCTGATTTGAAAGAGAATGTTGTCACAAGATGGAAGGGGAAGTTATTTTCGTAAAGGCTACGGGGCACTTGAATAAAAAAAAAAATACTGCAATATACTATAAAAAATAAGAATAGTCCGTTTTGATTTCACGGTGAATTTAACAAGTTTTAGCCCATTGCTACTATGTTTTAACATGTTGCTACTATGTTTTAACATGTTGCTACTATGATTCACACATTTACACATAATATTTATACTAGGGGTGTGCGATATGACGACATTTGATCGGGAACGTTTAAAATGTCTCCATGGTTCACTTTTTCGGAAATCATTGTATCGTGCCTACATCCCAACATGCAGTGCAAGTACGTGACAAACTGAGGTGCGCGCTACATGACGGCGTATTAACAGGCTTGTATACTTTGCTCCCGAGTTCAGTGAGATTTAGCAATACAGTGATAATGGATGAAAATACGGAGAAGTTAGTCACTAAAAAAAAAATCAACATCGATAATATGGAAATGGTTTGGATTTTCCCCAACAGACATGGCGCAAACAACAGTTATTTGCAAATGCTGCAATGATAAGATTCCCACCTCGGATGGCAACACAACAAATCTTTTTAACCACCTCAAAAGAAAGCACCTGAAAGAATATACTGACTGTCAAATTGTGAGGGGACCCCAGGCGAGTGCATCAGGTACAACCACGCAGCCAGAAGCTACAAGGCTTAAACAAACAACATTAAGGAAGAAAGCATTTGAGAAGGGAACTCTGTATGACAGGACAAGTCGACTTACCACAGTTGTTTGATGAACTCATGAAAAGAAGAGCGAGAAAGATTAAAGAAATGGTAGGCACGAATGACAAGCTAACGGAATTCTATCGCGCTGTGCTATCGCTGGAAAGATGTGATTGATGCAGTGACATTTTACCTGGCCAAGGATATGATTCCCATAAAAACTGTGGAAAATGAGGGTTTCAAAAGACTGCTCAAAGTCGTAGATCCAGCCGCAAATATTTTTCCGCCACGGCCATTTCACAGCTGTATTCCGAATGCCGCAGCAAGATGGAAAGCAAAATTCAAAATGTTACGTTTTTTGCTACAACCGCTGATTTGTGGTCTAGCCGCATTTCAGAACCTTATTTAAGTTTGACGATTCACTTTATTCATGACTGGAAGTTGTGCAGTGCATGTCTAGAAACAACATACTTCCCACAAGATCACATGGGGGAGCTCATAGCACAAGGCCTCAGGGAAGCGCTTGAATGATGGGGATTGAAAGAAGCGAACATGACCGGCATGACTACAGACAGTGGGACTAACATGATGAGGGCATTGGAGCTCAACAGTTGGACGCATCCGCAGTGCTTTGGGCACAGACTTCACCTAGCTATCGGTGATTGAAACTACAAATTTTTTTTTTTAAATTGTCATCACCGGCATTTAGGAGTTTGTTCGTTATAAGAAATAATTACAAATTGCATTAGGATCACTGAACAGTGTAAAATTATGAGATTAGTTTACAATATGAAATGCATTATTATATTTAAATGTTTTGTATATGAAAAAAAATATGGTATTGTAGATCTGTTTGGTTTCAATAAAATAGTACAATTTAAAAATATAAACATTTGTGAATAAAAATGTTATAGTGTGCATTGTTAAATCTATGCATTATTGTTTTTGTTTTTTTATTAGAAAAAAAGTGCCAAAGACCCTCGTGTTGAACGCATAACATCTGTCTGCAAGAAAGTTGTCAGTACCTTCTCTTTCAGCTGGAAGAAAAAGAGGGAGCTAAGTAATGCACAAACTGAGCTGAAACTACCTTAACAGAAACTCGTCACCGAGTCCCCAACACGATGTGGTTCCAGACTCAACATGATTGAGAGAGTTCTTGACCAGGAAAAGGCCATTTCTCAGGTCCTGAAGGCAGACAGGAAGACGAGACATTTGGTACCATCATGGCAAGACAGTGACGTGATGGAGTTTGTGAAAAAGGCACTGAGTCCAGAGTCCACTGGGAGACTTTACTGATGCACTCTCAGGTGAGGACTATGTGAGTGTATCCTACGTAAAACCAGTGCTTTACCTATTGAAAGTCAACATCTTGAGCCTGAATGATGACAACACTGAACTAACAAAAACAACGAAGACAATTATTTTAAATTACCTCACTAACAAATATCAGGATCCCACCACTGATGACCTGCTGGATATGGCTTCGCTTGTCGATCCCAGGTTCAAAACCCAGTATACTGACAGAGACAAGATAGAGGGAATACAAGCCAGAGCTGTGTCTGAGCTGGAGTCTTTGCTGACCATACAATATCCAGCTGCTGCAGCATCGGATCAGCAGCCTACATCTACCTCCACATCACAGAGCCCTGATGCAGAACAAACACAACCCAAGAAAGCAAAGAAATCACTTGCCAGCTTTTTGAAAACCTCAGGTGCTGTAAGTGCATCTGCAGCTGCAGGATCACCTTCCTTATCTCTAAAAGAGACAATAGAAGGGGAATTGAAGGACTACTCGTACACATCAAATGCAGAAAGTGAGGTGGATCCTCTGGAATGGTGGAGAGTTCATGAGGAAAACTTTCCAAGATTTAGCCAACTTGCTAGAAAGTACTTGTGCATTCCAGCAATAAGTGCTCCCTCAGAAAGAGGCTTCAGCACAGGTGGCAAAATTGTCACCTGCCAAAGGGAAACTCTCAAGCCAGATAAAGTCAATCAACTGGTTTTCCTCTCTAAAAATGTGTGATTGTGATCAGTCATACTTTGCGTTCTTTTAAAAGGAGATGTAAGTTGTAAGAAGGTGAGAGGTATGTTCTAAAGCTGCTAGTGCTAAGTTTACAAGAGTCATGATTCAGAAATATTTTTGCACCTTTGGTTGATTTGTTTTGGTTCTCACATTACACTTAAAACAATTACTTAAGAGATTACAAAAGGTAGTTAATTTAAATTATTATTTTTTTAATCTATTTATAGTGTTATAGTGTTGTGTGTTTACTTTTTGAAGCCAATGTTTATTTTGGGAGTTATGCTAAAGCCTCTGACTGCACTTATATTTATTTGACTAGAAGTTAATATTTTTATTTTATTTTTAAAAAGAAAAGAGGATCTGTGTCTAATAAGCTGTCTGAGTGTTACAGCTGTTGCCAATGTTAGATTTATTTTTAAACCAATGTTAATTTTGTGATGAGAAGTCTTTGATTGTAATTGAATGCAAGTCTTGTTGAATGTTCTTACATTGCAGAATTGCACTTGCATTAAATCTACACTTGATTAAAATATGCTTGAAAATATACTTTGGCCTAAATGGTATGTCATTTTTTTCCCCCTTTTATATTTTGTTACCTTGTAGGACTGCATTTTTAAATGGGGGCATTAGTTTGGCTGTATTTAGGGTCAGTAATGGCAAAATAGTCTTTAAAAAACCAACATGAAAAATAATCTTGATAAAATCGTGAAATTGTGATTTTTCCTGAAAACAATTGTGATATATTTTTGTTTATATCGCCCACCCTTAATATATACATAGTATCTTGCATGTTGCTACATAATAATAATAATGATAATAAATTATTTTATGTAATATGTATAATGTAATTATTATTATTATTATTATTACTATTGGTGTATGAGATAATAATAGGTGCTAATAATAAGCATGTGAGATAACAATAGTGATGCCTTGTCTGCCACTAATAAGCTTAAACAGTAGATAAGTATCTTGGCTTTGTTAATCCAACATAAGTGGCTAGATTCATTTTCTCAGGTGATTTATGATAACAAGCAGTTTTAACAACTCAGTCACCCACCTGCTACAAGATCACCAAATCCAATAGTTGTCAAAGTGACAAAAGAAAAATACAAGCCCTCAATATAGGTCCAGCCTTCTTGAGACATGAATACAAATGGAGGAATCACCAAATGCACCAACACACCCCATAACAGAAAGACAGCTGTGCAGGTGAACTGTGTTTTCCGCTTTAAGAAGAAGAAACACACACACACACAAACAATTAATAACCTTATAATAGAAAAATTTGCAAAATGCAGTTAGAGGTTTCACAGCTGTTATTATAGTGAAATTAAGATTTCAAATATAATGTTTTTTTGTAATTATTCCTTACCAATGTTACCCCTTTCTTAGTAAGATATTGCCCAAGGTGTTTAGCTCTTCCACCAAAAAACTTTCCAAGTTCACTGATCCATGTGAAACACAGTGGCACTCCAAAAAGACCATAAAAAATACAGAAAACCCTCCCTGAAGGTGTTTTGGGAGCAATATTTCCATAACCTGTGGAAATAAACAATTTTTGGTGAAAACATTCAGATTACGGTAAATACAATTTATGTCATTACAGTCTGAACACAACATGTTCTATCTTAAGACATGGCATCCATATATTTATCTGAGTATTAAAAAGAACAAAAGAATATATAGAGGAAAACAATGCTTAAAGTCTCTTAAAAGTTCTCTGTGAAAAATAATATAAAATTAAATAAAATTAAAATAATAATAATAATAAATGTTTGTAATGACTGTAGCATAAATATTCACCCATTTCCTGATTATTTTTAGCTAATTAAATCAATGTTTCCTTTGATTATTTCTCCAAGTGAAACCGATTCACTTGATTTTCACGCTGAGTAAATAGACTAGATCCTTACCTATAGTTGTAATAACTGTAGCTGCAAAGATGACAGCATTGGGCCAGTTCCAGTTGTTGAAGGTTTTGTCTCCTGTTATGGTGATGCCTTGTCCTGCAGCATCAGACACCACCTATTTCAAAAGAAAGAAAAAAATTGTGAGAGCAGTCACACATTCAATTCAAATATAACATCAGAGACTTTTCTTCAGAAGCAGTGTGGATTTGTTGTGTGTCTGAGATCAGAACTTCCATCCTCTCATGCCAGTATTGTTATCAACACCTCCCTGAGTATACTTAGCCAGACATAGTCAGTCATATTTGGGACATCATAATCAGTCATTTCTGGGACATGAGTGGGCCATCCCTCACTTAAAAGGTTTTTAGCTATGGATCTGATCTCAAATCATGCAAATCTATCCTAGAGATATAGTGAAGAAGGCATAATACGTCCCTAAACACTTGTACAATCACAGATAAAATGATCTGGTGAGTTATTAAACAGATAAACACTCACTTAAATAAATTATGACTGATTCTTCTTGATGAAACAGCTGCTCATGAAGCCCGGGGAACTATAACTGATGATGGTAAGGGCTGTTACATTTCCGACACACCCTAAGCAGTTTCAGGCTTCCGGCAGAGGGTGTACAGAGTGCTGCTGCAATGTACAGTGTATCCCTTTTCTGGACGGGATTTTTAAAAAGTTTTTTAAACAACATTTGAGTTACAGGTCTTATTGCTTGACATCTGTGATTTCATGTGGGTTGAGACAAACATTTACGTGTTTACGTGCACAGGTGGGGTGTGTCTTTTCTACATGTGGGCATTACAGAAGGTCATGTGCTGTGCAAATGGATTGAAAGAAAGGGATTGCCTTCTTTCAGCTTGTTGAACAATTGTATTTGTACATTTCTACTGTGTAATGGCTGAAGCAGCAGTGACACTCATGGTAACCAGATTCATTGTGAACTACAGTGAAACCATCAATTATTAGGCAATGCAATAAAATAGCTTCTTCTCCTTGTAAACGATACCATGAAGAATGAGCTTCACATTTTCTATATTGCAATTACATATTAATGTTTGTAATGTTTGTTGCATATAGTGAACAACGCAGAATAGAACCTGAGGTAATCATTATCATCACAGAACAAGCTCAAAATTGCCACTTGTTATTTTAAACTAACTTTTACATGTATAACGTACTACCACTGGTAATTTGAGTAATTTATCCAATAGAAATTACATCATAAAGTCGACTTTTAACAGATGCTTATAGTGATCTAAACTTAACACCTTGCAACTCCTTAAGTTACAGCAAGAAAAAAGGCTTTTTGACAAAAAATAAGTACACTAGTAGTAGCAATAAATTTAAATGTGCCTGCAGTGTGAACTAATTATTAAAGAGAAGGAGATAATTGGTTTACGTGCTGCTTGAACTTAGGTGGCAACGGCAATCTGTCGCTACATTAAAGACCAAATTGTGAAAAGTCATTGATTCGTATTAAAAGTAACAAAGTTACAAAATTTCACAAATAATTCTTAGTGTTTAGTAAGATTTATGCATCAAATATATGCAATAAATAAATCTACTAGCTGCAATGCAATGTTTTCTTCATTTGTACATATATATATA